AGCACGAAATTAACAACAGAAAACAGAGATCCAACAGCATGGATACACAATTACACAATAATATCGCAATCCAAATGGATCGAAATCAACCAAAATTCAATCGAATATGAAGATTAACATGATAAGCTCAAAAATTAAATCGAATTGAGAATTCCAACCTTCGAAGCGGAGATTTGCTTCGGTAAGTTTTGATCAACTGAATTTGAGCAGATCCAAACAAGATTATCCGGAAAACTTCAAGATCCACAATAATTCTTGCAAGAGGAATGAAGATAAAACACTTTTAAACCAAATTACTCCAAATAAGCACTTCCAACTCAAGCTCCAAAATCATATCTCAATTTGCATGAAAATGGATTATGAAAATTGATCCAATGATGATAATAAATGGAGGTTTATGCTCAAGAATCCATTGATTTCAATGAAAAATCAATGAATCCAAATGATGAAGAGCTTTGAGTGAGGATTTTGGGAATGGAGAAGTTGAGAGAATTGAGAGAGAATTGAGAGGAATTTTGAATTTGAATTTGGAATTATGAGAGATTAGCTTCCTTTGGTTTGGAGTAAATCACTTAAGTACTCTCTTGGTTTGGATCCAATGCAAGGTTTGGAATTTGGATTGGAAAATATGGTATGGAATGTGGAATGGGAATTCGGTGGGAAATTGAAATTAACCAAATTTAAATGAGGTTCTAGATCCTTCCCAAGTAAAAAAATGAAATTCAAGTGATCAAAATTGGACTCCAAAAGTGGCTGGGCTTGAAAATTCACGTACAGGGCAAAAATTACACATGTTAATCGGTTAACGCATATAGTTAACCGGTTAACACTGTGAAAACCTGCAAAATTAGCCTGATTTTGATTGTGTTAATCGGTTAACCATATGTGTTAATCGATTAACACCTTCAAAATTTTGAATTTGGCGCTTTTTGGAGGGAAACATGCATACTTGCCCATTTCTTGCTGTTTCGAACCCTGTTAAGCTTCTGGAATGTGTTCTTGAATGTTGTAACCATGAGACTGCTTGCAATAGCCTAAATGCTACTTTCTTGGCTGAAAATAACCTGAAAAACAAAATAAAATCGGTCGCTCGACCGCTGGGCAAAATAAATGTCGTCTGATACTCGTTGTTTTGATTGCTTACACTGAGAGTAAATTCTGAGCCACAGGAAAACCTCGATCCCCTTCTAAATGAACGATGATATGCAATGCAGAAATACAACAGAATGTAATGAAACAAAAACCAAGCCAAGAAAAGATTGGGCAAATTTTGGGGTGCAACAGCATGCTCCATGTGTAAACCATCAGGAGCACGATACACTAGGATCAATTTCGGGCATCTCATGTGAGGTTATAGCGAAAAGATTGGCGTTATCTTGGAGGCATTCAATTAGGGAGGTTCTTACTTCAAAAGGAAGTTTGTAGCCTTTATTTACTGACCTGGAAGAACTTTCCTTTAGCGTAACAGACTTCAAATCACCATCAAGCACCATCCAAGCCTTGTCTTCATGCATATCTAGGTTTAATGCATCATGAGTCCCTGGTTCTCCTTATATTTCGGCTTTTGAGGCCACAGCCAATGCTAAAAGGTCCTTTTGGATGATTTCCTTAATCTGATTTGCCTCATCCACACTGGCGCTCATTCTGACCAGTCATCCTTCTACGTCGTGATAAGTTACCTTCGGGTGGATTGGAGATGCTACTGTATCTAGTCTCGCTAGGAAGGATCTCCATATGATACCTTTGAAGGAACTCTAACACGGTATTACCAAAAAGTTGAGGATTACTTTTCTTTTGCACGATCCTTCTCCAATAGTCACTGTCATATATGTAATCCTTGAGGATGATTTATTGAATCGTTGGATGCTAACATATCTCATATGTTATAAAATTTCATATTCGTTTGTTTGATACCTAACATATCCATTGTATCTGCGTAGAGGATGTTGCAAGAGCTTTTTTCGTCTACAAGGAATCTGGTTAGGTTTCATTCAGCAATGGTAACTGCAAGTGTCACAGATATATTGAAGTTTAAAATTCCATTGTTCTTCTCATGATCCATAAATCATAATTCCATTTGATCTTTACTTCATTGAATGCCATTATCAAATACGAGTACAAAGCAATTTGACGAATGACAGGTGCTACGTGATACGATATCACAAAATTTATCGATCGGTGATATATGATAATCGTTTGATTTAGAAGATGTGTTGAAGATCTTGGATGTGACTACCAAAGTCATTGTCTCTGCTTCTTTTGTTGTTCGTACTAATATGAAGCTGAAAAATTAAAGTACTCAGAAGTCGATTCCAACATACGACGCCACTATTCTATTTGAGAATCAGAAATGGATGCAGTTGGATAACTGGTGATCTTGAACGGTGGTGATGATCTCCTTCACAGCGGCACTGAGTGGATTTGTATAGTTAGCACTCTAACGCTTGAGCCATTTCAAGATTTAAGATTAGTGTAATAAAAAATGGAGATCAAATAATGTACCTAACTCTTTGCGTGTAAGTTGATTTTTATATCTTGGGTCAAGTGGAATGGATTTGAGATGAATTAGGCCTTAGTTATTTGGGCCTTTGGCATATCCTGAATATGAGCATTTTCAAAGTAGGGTTGATGTAACTAGTAAAATGAGATTTTTTTCCACCATTGTAGAAGTGTTCAATTGTCATTCATATGTTGGCATATGGATCTTCTACTATTATTGTAGATGAATATGTTTGAATTGGTAAAAACACTACAATTAAATTCTTAGAGAGATTCGTAAGGGGCGTGGAGGTTATTTAGATTTGAGTGAGGCCTAATAACAATGATATCGATAGTATTTTATATATGTAAGAGTTACGTGACTTTCCAAGTATGCTAGGTTTCATTGATTGTATGCTCTGGAAATGAAAAGTTATCGGGTTGCATGAAAAGAATAGTTTTTTATGGTGAACATGGTAACGATCATGCTTTAATCGGTGACATCATAATACTTGTGAACTTGGCATGAATTTGTTATATTGCATGTTCAAATAATGAAATTAACGTATTAAACCAATCCAACATGGAGATATTTGGAATGGCAAACTCCTATAGTGCAATGTACAGTTAATAGAAAAAAATGTATTTGGCCAACATCAAAAATCAACAAGGATGTAGTGCATCAATCTCAATTTACAATTATACATGGTTCAACGCTTATTTGGTACATGGAAACTTTCAAACATATAACACATTATATTATGGATGGAATAGAAGGAGATCAACCTGACAGAAAATGAAGGCAATTCTGTAACGGAAGCAAGCTCGCTAGTAGCGAATTCTCTTGCAATTTCATTGGATAAGGCAACTCTGTAACGGAAGCAAGCTTACTAGAAAGACATAGCGGATTCTCTTGCAATTTCATTGCATTTATCTTATTAGCAACCTAGTAGAGGCCTAAAATATGTTTTATTCCCTCCTCTTTCCATCCCCAAGTTTAATATGCTTTCTATTGCCTGTACCAGTGTTGCTTCCTTTTGTTCACCGCGTGAAATATTGAGAAAGAAGGCCTTGTGGGGCATTTCCAGCAGCGCCAAAGAAAGAAGAAGTAAAGTGTGTGAACGAGAATCAGATAAATCAAACATAGTGTAGTAACTGTCAATTTTGATAATTTCTATTTTGATAATTCCTATGATAATGGATAGAGCAGAAGTTGAGGATTTGTTACTGCATTGCCCTAGTCTGAAATACTAAATACCATAATACCCTAGTTTGAAAAAAAATTGACCAGGGTGCCCCATTTTCACTACATGCTCGTCCACTCAAGTGGCGAGCTTATGCCGGTGCAATTTTAGTGTAGGTGCTCGCCCACTCAAGTGGCGAGCAGGTGTTGGATTCCTTTTTTTTCTTCATATTTATGTTTCATAATAATCACATATTTAATGATTTTAATATAAAAATCATATTGTAAAATATATTATACTAATTTAATAGTTAAATATTAATTAAAAATATATTATAATAATAAAATATTTTATGCTTTATTAATCTAATGTTAAATACCAATTAAAAATATATTATAATAATAAAATATTTTTTGCTGTATTAATTAAATACAATAATAAAATATATTAAACAAAAATACATGTTACATATAAATTTGATCAAAAATGGCCCCCAGTTCCACACCTAGTGGCCCTTTTCTATCGATATTCCCTGCCCACACGTTCATTTGCATTCGTTGTAAGTGATTGATATGAGTCGGAAGATATATCTTGATCGTGATGTGTTGTAGGAGGGTCTGTCTGCCTTAAAGAGGGTTCTGCTTGTGTTGAAGGTTGCTCAGCAAGAAGATCATCAATGTTAAAATCTGGCATTTGCATCAGTTGATCCTTTGTCAGCAAAAAAATTTAGAACGCTTGTGATGGTTGTGGTGGTTGGGGGTAGGTTTCGGGTTGGTTTTGTTGGAGGGTTGGGTAGTAGACATCATCAGGCGTGAAGGTGGAGGTTGGTTGAGAGAATGAAGTGTTGAAGGTTTGATGTTGGAATTAGGGGTTTGATTGATCAAAGTTTGGCGGAGGAACTTGAGTGAACTGTAAGGGTGGTCGAAGGGTGGATTGGTGTTGATATTGTTGGTTGTTGTTGTAGTGGTAGTTTTGTTGAGAAAGTGGAGTGTAGGGAGTTTGGTGTTGGGATGAGGATGCATAATATATGTGTTGTTCGGTTGTCTGTATGCGTTGGTATGTATGCTGAGCTGATGAAGATGCGTGCCCCCCAAATTGAGATGTGTAGTTTGGTGGCACATCCTGATGCATTGATGCAGAAGTTGGTTGTGTTGATGACAAACCTTGCATGCGTGGGTCGATCAAAAATTGGTCTGGAGCAATATGCACATAGGGAATGGCATAAAACCAAGTTAAATACTCTTTGATTGGCTTGTGTTCACCAACTACAACGTCCCCCTGCAAAGTCAAATGTCTTTTATGTTTCCGTTTTCTCACCTCTTCTTTGTTTAAGTCTCGTCAATGAACTTTTTGGGCTTTTCTCATTGACATTGCGTGGTGTTCCCTTAGACACCTTGGCGAGGAAGGGATTTGTTGTTCAAATCCGAACTGGAGTTTTACCCTATTTGTCTGATACATTTCAATAATATAGAAACAAATAAGAGAAGTTGTAGCACTCCTGATCTGGTTATCTCTAAGATTGGGCACCGGGTATTGAATGTACGGCCTCCATATAAACTGCCACATATTAAAAAAAAATTATAATACCATTAAGGAGTATATCTGACAACTATGTTCTATGGTTTCAAACTTACATCTTTTTCTTGCATGTGGTCCAATGTGTTTCGATATCCTTGTAGATCAAAACGAGGATTAGCATTGTAATTCATCCGTCTTTGGGCCCATCTTGCATAAGCAAAAAATATAATTATTGTTAGGCATAGTTGAGTAACAAATATATATATATATATATATATATATATATATATATATATATATATATATATATATATATATAGAGAGAGAGAGAGAGAGAGAGAGAGACACACACATACATGCGTGTTTTAATCTAGTAATACCTTTGAGCGTATGGATATGACAATTGCAATGTACTAACAGGAGCAAACAATGGTATACACGTGAAGGCCCAAGAAGTGAGTAGAAGAACACAACCACTCATGCTCCTAACATCTTTGACTGTTGCCTTGCACATTTCCCTGTACAGTTTTGTAAGACATGCAGAACCCCAACTAAAGGTGCCGCATTTTTCTAGATCCCCTATGAAAGGAATCCAGGAAGAATGCAAAAGATTTTGACTCTTGTCGGGAAACAAAATAGTAACAATTACAAGTAAAATATAAACTTTAGCTTGTAAAACAATATGCTCTTCTGTGGGGGCAGAGTTATTTTTTAAAACTTCATATAAATTTTCTAGCCACATAATCCTAACAGAACCTCTGTTCTTATTCGCTTCTGTAGGTTCCACCCCTAAGCTCTCCATGTAAACATCATTTGTAACTTCGGTAGGACCGTTGATAGCTTTTTCATCAACTCGGAGACCAAGTAACATATTCACATCTTCTAACGTTATCGTGCATTCACCTGTTGAGAAGTGAAACATGTGTGTTTCTGGTCTCCAATTCTCTAACAGAGCTACAACTAGGCTGGAGTCGATTTCGAGACTATTTATTTTTGAGATATGAGAAAAACTTGTTATTTCTAGATACGGGATTATTCTTGCACTTGCTTGAATGGGAGCATGAGAATGCACTCGAAACCTTGCATTAGTCTGAAAAGAAATGAAATAATATTGAACCAAGCAATTATAAACATTATTCATAGAATAGTAGAGGAAAGCTTAAACTAGCTTGAATGTTTTGTTGTGTTCCATGGTGTTCATCGCCCATCCACAACAAAGCCATTTTGATTGAGTGTAAATTTATTTGAAGAAATGTTTGAGTATTTGTTGTTGCTATAGTGCTTTGTACTAGATGTAAAAATGTGTGTAGAAAAAAGTTTGAGGTAAAACTGAATTTATAGATGAAGTATAAATGTTTGGAAGTGTAAATGTGATTAGTAGAAGTGACATTACACTGAGTTTTGCATGGCATTGGTAATGGTTACTTGCATGGAATACATGCAATTCTACTACGTAGGTCTTACACAATGTACCTTGCATGCAAGACATTTTTCAGCACCCATCATGCACTCGCCACTTAGGTGGACGAGTTGCCTCGTGAACAAGAGCAAGCTTGCCCTTTGAATGGGCGAGCAAGTACTACACATGAGCATGCTCGTCCTTTGAGTGGACGAGCTCAAGGCACCTTTTTGTTCTTTGCATTTTATGTGTATGTTATATATATATATATATATATATATATATATATGTGTGTGTGTGTGTGTGTGTGTGTATGTGTGTGTGTGTGTGTGTGTGTGTGTGTGTTTGTGTGTGTGTGTGTGTGTGTGTCTGTATGTGTCTCTCTCTGTGTGTGCGTGTGTGCGCGCGCGCGCGTGTGTGTGTGTGTGTGTGTGTGTGTGTGTGTGTATCATATCTTGTTTATATCATCACTCCATATTTCATTAACAAAAGTATAGATACATCAAATATGTCTCAGAGAAATATAATTTTTACCTGCCACTTTAATGGTGTTGTTTTGACAAATAGTCCCGTTGGATTCTCATTCAGCAACACAGATACTTACACATTCAAAATTCATGTCAATTCTGATTTTTTCCATTTCAAAGATAGAATAGGAAAAAAATTAGAACGATGCGTTGAGGAGATTATTTATCGTCGTCCATTACATAATGGAGACGACTGTACAATTTTTTACGTAATGACGCCGATCAGGAACGACGAAGACGTGGAGAAAATGTTTCAGTGCCACATGATGTTTGGTCAGTTACCCACAATTGAGTTGTATATCCGACTACTAGACAACACCGAAACATTTCCGACGCAAGAGACACAATCACACCGATATAGAATGAGTCAAACATCCGACGACGAACCAACACAAAACAACCAACCTTTCATACCAAATGAAGAGCTTGGGGAAGCAAGTGATGACGATCTTCAAGAGGTCAGGATGCAAGATATTTTTGGTAACAGCGATGACAAAGACGATGAAGATATAATTGTCACGTCTATGCAGCTGATTCTCGCACAACCAATAAGCTTGTACAACCTACAGCATATATGAAAAATATATGTATGGAAAATGATGAAACAACCTCCGTGTTTTGAAGAGTCATACCAAACCATATAGGTGAAGAAATAGAGATTGGAATGGAGTTTGAAAATAATGAAGCTTGCATTTTCTCTCTGCAACATTGGCATATAACACACAGTGTTGACTATTGGGTTTATCAATCTGACAATGAATGATATGTAATTAAGTGTAAGAAACAAGACTGCAATTTCAAATGCAAAGCTTTCTTGAGAAAGGAACTCAAAATGGGTAATTGGTAAGCTGTCTGGGCCTCACACATGCACTACCACGTCTATGGCACAAGACCATAGGAAGCTCAGTTCAGAAATGATCATCTATAGCATCAGAGAACTTGTCAACCGAGACGCTTCACTTAAGGTGAAGGTGATCATTGCCCATATTCTTGAAAATCACAGGTACATAATATCTTACAGGAAAGCATAGATCGCTAAGTGTAAGGCCATATAGTCGCTCTACAGAAATTGGGAAACATCTTACAACGACTTGCCACAGTGGATACTGGTAATGAAAACCTACCTTCCAGGAACCATTATAGATTTGCAAACCCTACCTGCAACTTCAAATGATGTTTCTCAACTCTCTGGAAAATGAATCTTCCATCATCTGTTTTGGGCATTTCGTCCGTGTATACGTGGCTTCGCCTCCTGTAAGCCCATTGTGCAAGTAGACGGAATATGGTGGTATGGCAAGTACAGAGGAACTCTATTGATGGTGGTGGCATAGGATGGAAATGCAAACATTTTCCCCATAGCATTCGCATTGGTCGAAGGTGAAACAAAGGAAGCATGGAGCTTTTTTCTAAGGAACCTAAGGTTACACGTGACACCACAACTTAATTTGTGTCTAATCTCTGATAGATATGAATCGATAAAGAGTGCATATAACAATCCCGAAAATGGATGGCAACATCCACCATCTTCACATGTCTACTGCATTAGACACATTGTGCAGAACTTCATGCGTGAGATTAAGGACAAGGAACTACGCAAAAAAACTTATTAACATGGATAACAAAATACATTTCAGTTATCTCAACTATTATATCATACTTTTACTATGTTTTTCATACAATTTCTATTACAGGTTAAGCATTGACTGAGGCTACATTTAACTACTATCATGGAGAAATCCGAATAACAGACATTGAGGCTTCAAATTGGATAGACAACATACCTAGGGAGAAGTGGGCTAGAGCATTTGACGCAGGGCAACATTGGGGACATATGACATCTAACTTGGCAGAGGCCATGAACTCTGTACTAAAGGCAACCAGAAACCTTCCAATCACTGCTTTGGTCCAATCTACATACTATCGAATGGGTTCACTCTTTGGTAAACAAGGACACAAATAGACCAAAATGCTAGCTACAGGGAAAGTTTTCGCAGATGGTTGCAACAAGGGAATGGCTGATGAGGTAGCCAAGGCTAACACACATAATGTCATACAATTTGATCGCGAAAGATTTTGTTTCATGGTGCAGGAAAAAATTAATCAAAACGATGGTCGTCCAATAGGTACTTTCAGCGTTGACTTGAGGAATCGTTGGTGTGACTGTAGAAAATTTCAAGCATTTCACTTGCCTTGCTCCCACGTGATCGCAGCATGTTCTAGCATGCGACAAGACTACACCGTTCACATTCCAGAGGTCTTCACAATTCTTAACGTGTTCAAAGTCTACAAGGAAAGCTTCCTGGGACTACCGCACGAAGAGAACTGGCCAAAATATGAAGGTTTTACTCTATGCCACGACGATTCCATGAGAAGAAATAAAAAGGAACGTCCAACCAGTAGTAGGATTAGAATTGAAATGGACGACACTGAAAAAGAAAAGAGAAGGTGTGAGATTTGTAGAGAAATAGGCCATATGCGTAGAAAATGTCCAAATATTGTCGGCCCGTCAAATCGACTGTCTAGATAATTTTATTTATTTTACAAGGAACTTGATTGGAAAATATTTTGCTTGCACTTGATTTCTATGTGATCCAACATTTATTTGTAATTCAAGACAACTTTTAGATTACAGTAATACTAGCAGATTACAACCATAAACTTAAAAATAAAACTCAAGAAGCTAACATACACGCTAATCAACAACAGCAACCAACACAAGTGGATCTTTGACTCCTCTGTTAACTTCGCCACTATGTGCTGAAAACATACATTGGGCATCTTCTTCATTTTCTATACGATCCAAGTAATACATGTACGTACCCTTTGGGCTGGCATCAGTCAGCATTATATACGGACAACGATACTCCATTTTTTTACCGTCATGCGACGACCACCCAACTGTCAAAACCCCGTGTTAATTGTTGAAACCACGGTTCTGAAATTCCACTGCGGATCTAGATAAACACTGATTTTTTTTCTTGTCCATAAAAAACAAGAGCTCGGACAGGCATTTTTAAAACACGAAACACTGGACACGAATGATTTGTGCTGATACGCAATATGTCTATTTATAAATAAAAAAAATTACGTTTGAACTCGGTCATTCAATGGCCGAGAGTCTGTAAAAACTATACAACTCCTTGGACGAACATCACTCATTCTATAAAATACATGAAAGGAAGAAAAATTAAATTATTATATCATTCATAATTTTCTTTCATTCTATATAATATTATATAATAACATTAATATAATAACATGATATATAATATTGTTATAATAATTATTTATAATTAAATTAAATATCATAATTAAACATGATATATAATAATTATTTAAAATTAATATTATAATTAAATTAAATTATTTAAAATAACATGATATATAATATTCTTATAATAATTTTAATTTATCTATATTTATTAAATTAATATAATAAATTTTTAATATTTAAAATTATTTTTTTAATTAATTAAACATAACATAAATATGAAAAAAAACAAAAAAGAAAAAATCTAACACCTGCTCGTCACTTGAGTGGACGAGCACTTACACTAAAATTGCACCAGCATAAGCTTGTAAGTGGACAAAGATGTAGTGAAAATAGGACACTCTGATCAATTTTTTTCAAACTAGAATATTATGATATATAATATTTCAGACTAGAGTAATGCAGCAGTAAAAAGTATTTGCAGTAAAAAGTCCAGAAGTTGAATCTCCAAACTTTTAGAAGAGATAACTCCATACCAAATAAACCAACTTTCGCTCTTAATCCTAAGTTGAGTTTCCCTCTAAAAATGGAGGAATTAAAATGAAAGAAAAATACTTATCAAAACATAGATTTGAAAACTATTTTATTTAACGTGGCCGTAAAAGAGGGGTGGGTGTTTTTTTCTTCCTTTTAAATCAAACAAGTTATAAAATACTTTTTTAAAAATGAATGAAGTTTAATTAATTATTATATACTCATAGATCATAGCAATAATCTTTATGTCAAGTTTCTTGAATCTTTGGACTATTGAAATTCAAAAGCACAAAAAGCATGGATAGCCATCGCTCTCACATACCAAACCGATTCATATTACGTGCCCAAATTTATTGCTTTGTCGCGTTGATCGTTTATTTGTATTGTTCAAAAGAAGCAAAAAGTACATACTCTTGTATTATTGTCATGATGCTTTTTCAAACTTGGTTATAGAGTGACAAAGAAAGAACATTAACCAAGGAAACACCCAACTCTTTCTTTCTCTTCTTTTTATGCTTTATGCTTTACTCACTGCAAAAGTGAGAAAACACCCATTTGAATGCATACTGATACAGCAGAGAAAGCGAGAAACTGACAGAATGAGGGGTCCTCTGTATGAACTTTTCTTTCTTGCTCACCAGGCAAATCATCCACTTTTTATCTCTCCAATCCAATACAACCAAAGATGTAAACTCATTCATTCATTCATCATTTCATTCAATTTCATTATCCATCTTTGACTGTATGTACAGTTAGTTATTTACCCCACCACCATTTGAATCCCTCATTTTTCTATTCCCTATACCCTTCTCCACAACCATAACATAAAGAAATAAATTAAAAAATCTCATCACATGCCCTACGATGCATTGCATGTACAAGTACAAACAACTATTCTTGACAATCTCTCCCACTAAATGAAAACAAAAAAAGCATACCGTGCCCTGTCCCCTGCCTCATTCCATTTGCAATGGCTATGAGAAAAATCTAGCCATCAATAGCAATAAGAAAGGTCTTATTTCTGTTTGAGCTTTTTTAAATTACCAATTTTTGCAGCACCAGCTCAGATATTCGGATGCTAATTAAAACGTGTCCTGGTTCAATTCTCCTATTGCCTCTCACCAACCATGTCATTTGTCCTCTACAAAGATTCTGTGTATGAAATCCCTAAACCTTTTGGAATATAGCTTGGGATCAACGGCTGAGATGGACGCGGGGTCCACTTGTAGTGACTTGTATGCATGCTCTAGCTTTTTGCTAATATCATAGTCTTGAAGAATGTCAATGATGCCAAAATATAGGATTACATCAGAGATCTCATCACTACTCTTTGAAGAGGTAAATTTGCTACTTGCAGTGTGCTGCTGATCCAATCCAGCTTTACACACTCTCTCAGCTCTTGCTGGCATGTTTATTCCCAGCCGGATTAGAGGTCCCCTGATACATCAAGAATCATAATTTTAATTAAAATATTTGAATAGTTAGAATGTAAAGTCACCTATCAGAAAGAGAGCCCAAGAGAACCAGATTACTAAAAATTATGACTTAAAATTAGGTAATTAACAAAAAACAGTTCGCGTATATCAGAAATAGTGACAATATTTAAAAATGTAATTGGCACACAAATATATATTTTCCTAAGCCTTAAGTCCTAGCAACCACCCTTGCTCTATCAATATCATCGTCAACAACAAACAAATAGTTTTGCAGATAAGGTTCTTTCCTTTTCAGAAAGATCTACATCACTCCAGCATTTGCTGTCAACAAAACTTACTACAACTTGGCCATGACAAATCAAGTCATCGTGGTCCATCGCAACCAACAGGGTCATATTCAGTGAGGGAGATAAATATGTCACTTCTAAATCACAGATAGAGAGTACTGGAGAATGCTAATTCATTTGCCATTGATTTATTTCTACATGACCAGTGGCCATTTCCTCTTTACTATTTGCATGCGCATGGGCCACATTGTTAGCTTGTGGTTGAAGAGCATTTTGCTTCTGTTTTGTATTAGGCTTGGGTTCAGATGGACTATAGCTCAAGAACAGGGCACATGCATAGAAGTAAAAGGAAATACTACCGATGCAAGCAGTAGAGAGAAACTGCTATAACCCAAATGAAAAAATCTTTTCATAAAATGTAGCAACAGAAAATGGCCTTTTCACATGAATCCACATTTCCTTGAGTGACTTTGATTTCTAGAATAAATGATGGGTTGAAACAACAAGAACAATCAGATTCGTAGGCAAATAAAAGAGGGCTTACCGGCCTATGGGTATCCACCTCATGTCCTGCATGTCATCATTTTGTATGTCTCTCTTGCCTGCCAAATCCATAATCCCTCGGATCTTTTAACTCGTGGATCCAACAAATTCACAGTAAAGGAAATGTTGAGCTAGGAGGAAGTAAGAAACATACCTGGACTCAATTCATTAGGTGAATTTTTCATTTCATCGGTTAAGTAATCATCACGAAAATGAAGGCCAATGAGAAAACTGTAGTCCATTATTCCCTCTGCTTCCAGGAACTCACAGTCTTTATCAAGTTGCCTGAGAAAAAGTCGTTGCAGAAAACAAACTCTAAGAACATAATAAAAATGCTAAAAATAAAAATTAAAAAAATTCTACCAGGCCTAGGGAGAAGGCTTTGTACCATTTAAGCTCTTGAAACCAAGATTGCTCCAGGCGAAAGATAAAACTAAGATCAAGGTCTTTAAGAGTAGTAGTCTCATCAATCTCCTTACGGGGTTTATCAGTTGTACGGCCATGAGAAGAACCTTTAAGGTCAAACCGCTTATGAATCCGATACTCCGAACAAAACACATTTCCCATAACAATAAACCGAGTCTGTTTTTCCATAGCAATACAACTTTTCATTAATCATATGATAGACATTCATATACTACTATCATATCAGTATAGTGAAAAAAAATTAGGTATATTCCAAACCTTTTGACCTCCAATAGGTTTGACACAATGAACTCCCAGGAACTTTGTAACCAGCGAGTTCTTGTACTGAGAAACATGCTGATAATAACTGGGAAGCATCTTGATCAGCACCTGACATGGCCACCAACTAATCATTGAAAAACAGAGAAAAAAGCATGGTGACCAAAAGCTGAAACTGAGATTTCACCTTGCTCAACACCGGTATTATATTTCTGTTATCAAACATAATGCTTCTTCAAGTGTAGTAATTAAGGTTAACAACTAGCAACTAACCTTGACTTCAGACTTCTTCAAGGTCTTGATAATAAAACGGTCATCTTGAGTAAGGTAAAAGGAGCTTCCACTTTTGCCAGGTGAAGACATTTCCCTCAGTGTATCATTGCCACAAATTGCGAGCATGTAATCGGCCGGATCTATAGCAAATAATTCCCTCAGATGCCTAAATACCCAACAATAAACAAACAAACAAGCACCCAGCAAAATTAAGACATTATTAATATCCACACACAAAAAAAAAACATCAATCAACATTCAACAGAAGAAAATTGATGCAGAAAATAATATCAACACCTGAACACCACTGGACAGTAGTCTTTCCACCTGAAGTCCACCGATTGATGCGGAGGAGTAAACTTAGAGCCTTCCGGAGGGAACCTCGTCCAAAACTTCTCCTTTGGTTCAAAATCTCCCGACCTAAGCTCTCGAGGCACCGAAGCATGTTTCCCAACACAATATCTAAAACCAAAACAAAATCAAAATCTCACTAGAAATGTCAAACACACAAAGATGGACCAAATTCAAGTGGTCAAAGTAGCAATGTAGATAGCAATAACACACCTAATACCCAGTTGAAGATTAAGGATCAAATCATAGCTCTTATGCCCCTTAGAAACAGTAAAACCAGGTTTCTTAACATCCCCATCTTGCAAATAACAAGGACTCTTCTGCAACATTGGCGAGGGTCCATATCCATACCCTGCATCTCCACCACCATTCTCCGACTCACTTCCATCTCTATAAAACATACACGCTTCCACATTATCAACAATATCACAAGTAATATCACCAGCTTCCCCATCAAGTTCCCAAATACAAATCCTCGGAAAAACCACACTCTTAGAACCATCCACAGACACAGAAACAGAAACCCTCTTATTCACATTCCTCCCTTCATCATTCCCCCAGTTCCCAGCCGAAACACTCCCATCACGCCACGTGAACACACCTTTCCCCTTCGGCACTCCATTATCCCAACAACCTTGATAACGGTTTCCATTCTTCCACATCAACATCCCATTCCCCGATATAGCTCCACATTTCCACTCACCAACATACTCATTCCCGTTCTTCCACATATACTTCCCTTCCCCATCTTGTAAATTGAACCTCCACCACCCTTCATACACATCCCCATTCGCATAACATTTCTCACCAAATCCATGTTTCCGATCCGAAATCCAACTACCTCTATACGTATCACCTTCTACACCAACAAAAGTTCCAGAACCTTCCATTCTACCAGAAACAAAATCACCTTCATAAGTCGCTCCTGAAGGCCACGAAAACCTCCCTTTCCCCCACGCTTTTCCCTTCTTCCATTCTCCTTCATACATACATCCATCACACCAAACATATTTCCCTTTCCCGTGCGGCGTATTGCCGGATAAGCTTCCACTGTACACATCACCGTTAGGAAGCTCTCTCTCCACCGTCGTCGGTGACACGCGCCGTGTCCGCGGTGGTCGACGGCACGATGTTGCAACTACAACCACTTCCATCTCATCTGATTTGTTCTTCTTGGCATTAGTGTCTTGAAGCTGTTGCACCTCTGAAACATTTAACAGCGTCTCTTGCATTCTGTTTTAGTTTCTCTAACCGTCGGTTTAATACGGCGGCGGCGGAGACATTTACCGTGGATGATGGAAATGTGGTTACTGAATGCACAGTGTTCGAGAAAATGCTAATACGAACATTACCAAGTTTGGAGCACAATGTTGGGTAGTGTGTTGTACTAATTGGATTATTTCCACGTGAATTTTTGGGAGTAGAAGTAGTGGTGGAAGTGGTTCCTCGGTACCTAAAATTTGGTTTGATGTATGCGATGGAATGGATTCATAGGGATCTATGCATTTTATTGGAGAGTAGTATTATTCACCTACAAGGGTTTTTGTTTACTTTTAAGCCAACAGCTATAGATTTTTTCTCTCTTTTTCTTTTTCTAGCTACAACAAGGTAGAAGGCATTTTCTTTGTTATATGAAATGAATTGCAAGTCAAACAGCCACAAATCGAATAGTTTTCGGTTTTTTTTTTTTTATGAATTGGCAATTGTCAAGTTTGTTATTATTAATTATAATTAAGTAAAGTATTGTTGTTAGTGTTGATAGTTGGTCTCACGTATAATCAAGGACGTGCTACGTGTTTACTTAAAAACTGTTGATGGAGGGATTTGGATTGTATAATCACGACAATGTTTGTATTTGCGAATTGCAATATATATAGGAAGTAGGAGTAGCGGCACAATCAACGGACAAGTTTCTTTTTTTAAATAAAAATAATAAATTAAAGAGAACACATAAAATTAATGAGAACCACCATCATTAAAGATTAATCAAATTTAAATTTAAATATAGAAAATATTCGTACAAATATGAATCATTTTAATTTTAATTTCAACAAAAAAAAGTCAATGTAATTTTATAATTTCCAAAAGAGTTTAATTACTTTTATTGATATGACATACAAAATCTTTGTTGACATAAATTATAATATGTTGACTTATATAATTTTATCATTTTAATTGTATTAATTAATTCATTGCAAATAAAAAAAACTATTTTATTAAAAAAGATATATATGGGTTGAACATTTGTCAAAGATGTTGAAGGAAAACCTACTTAATTGACTATTTTTTTCTAGCAAATAATCACGAGTTTAAAAGTTTGTGAGATTAACTCGAAAAATTTCTACATCAATTTTGTGCAAACACGTTTACAAGAAAGTATGCATATGAAGTGACTGTGAATGTTATTTTTTTTGAAGGAAAACCTACTTAATTGAAAAAGAAGCAGAAGACAGAAGCTAATGAATTTGAAGATAAGATCAAGAGGATACGTGATCAAATAGTACATAGTACAAAATAAAAATATTTCTTCCACTAACCTGCAATTGTGGGCGAAGGACTGTACTATTCTTCACACCTACCACTAATTCGTTAGTGGACAGCTCCATTTTTGCATATTCCTGATTTGTCATCCAACGGTTCCTTTTTCATGCTATCTAAAGTGGATTTGGAGACTTAAAAAAAAGAGGTCAACTTTGTTAGACGATGGCGCAGATCTAGAAGGGGGGTTGAATAGATCACATGTTAAAAACAGAGTCGACGCTATCAATATTTGGTTTTAAAATTTTTTTAGGCGGAAGCGGGCGAGGAACTATATTCGTCTAAAATGAACCTTTACCGAAAAAACCGGATATGCGCAAAGCCTATGGAATTTGATAAAAGCGAGATTTAAGAATCACTAATTTGAACACACACCAACCATAATTTATTCACTATAAGGTTTGACTATTTCCGATGCTTGAAAAATATAAACAAATTGAAAAGACAGCACAAGCGTTTTTTTTCCACACAATTAGTCAAACACTTGGCGTGCAAGGCACCACAAGTGAATTCCAATATGAGAGTGAAGTGCTTAAGTGTTCAATTACAATCAAGGATTGTAATAAGCTTCAAAAATAGTTCAGCACTACTCACATCAGAATTTTGATTAACTTAATTGTTTGCACACAAACTCAGAAATTAAGCAATTTAAAAGTAAAGAAAGAACACCAATTTGTTGAGGCAGTTCTCCCATCGTTCTCGCTCGGGGTACATCTGCCCTTAATTCTTAAAATAGAATTGAGACATGTATATAGATATAACTTGTTGGTAAATGTTTACAAGAGAAGCAATAGAAATCAAACGATCAAACACAATTGTTGATGCAGAGCCTATTCCTTCTCTTCCCTTGATTTAAGCTGAATCAAGTCCTTCGAATGCGATAAATAAACCTACGATTACGGCACACCCTTTGAATAACCCCACGATCTTCAAATCTTGCCCGGATGATTTGAATCACCAACGCTTCGAACTCGAATCTTCCTCTCACGATCCTCCAGTTACCGCTACTAAACCGACAGAACAACCCGTTCTTCGATTACCTTCGCTCGGCTGAACCTGTGATTGACCGATTTGTACAAAAAAAAAACCCAAAATCCAAGATTCTTGGAGGAAAAATCCTAACGGTTTTATTCAAGAAAAACCTACTGATTTCTCAACCCAAACCCGATTACGCCAATCCTATGTTTGGATGTTATCACCTCTAACAAGCAGAATGTGCAACAAAAATAATTATATGTAGTTGTTGAGAAAATGCAAGTAAGAGAATGAAGATGATGAGAACAATCAGTATCTATTTTCACTTTTCTTGTTGTGATAAGTAAGAGCAAAACTCACTATATATGCAAGTCAAAAACAATTAACCAACATAATAACCATAAAGACAGTTTCACATAACAGAATTTTAACTGAAAACGCGTGAGCGATCGACCTATGCAGAAAGGAGGGTCGACCTAAGCTTACCCGGATTTCAGATTGTGCAGAAAACAGAACTTTGTGTTGACCGAAGCAGGTCATACATCGACGCAAAGCATGCAGAATTAGACAAATAGAAATGGACACAGTATGAGTCGACCGGAGTGTCGACGCAAGCACTCTTGAGAGTATACCATTCAAAATGCTTTCTGTATGAGTCGACCAGAACAAGTTTGAGTCGACTCAGAGACCCAAAATATGCAAAAATGCATATTTTCATGTATCATGCAACTTTTGAGGTATTGTATCACATAGTAAGCTAGACAAACTTGACCAAACCTATATGAAGCATATATTGAACAATTTATATATGTATCAAACAATGTTTCTGACTGATGTTTGACTCAAGAGGGATAAGGTATGCATATGTGACACAATGATACCGTCCAAAGTACATTTTTCTACCTATCTAAGTTTTTATATCATTAAAACAAGTGTAGATACCTATGAGGATTGCCCTCACATACTCTCCCTTTTTTATGGAAAAACGGTAGAAACTTGGTGTATGATGCATTGTATCATCCTCCCCCTTACTCGATGTCTTTGTCTGTACACAATATGCATGTTTAATAAGTCTTACAAGTGATGTTTCTGTTTGATATTCTTCTCCCCCTTTGACAACATCAAAAAGAAAGAAGATAGATGTCAATGTATTGCATATAATAAGAGAGATAAGCAAATTCCAGCCATTTGCAACAGGTTACACATTAACACACATTCACATATAATGTAGTTAATGAAAGCATATACATGGATAAATAGAACAACACTTAAGAGAACAACAATAATCACTATTTTATAACCAACAATAACCATGTCTTCAAAAGCAAGTAAGTACATGAAATATTCTACAATATATGTTAATGAACACATGATGAAATAAGATGCATAATGAAATATTCAAGACATCCTCAGGGTCTCCTCCCCCTAAAGTGATGGCCTCGTCCTCGAAAGGGATATTCCGAAAGTGAAGGCAATTACACATCAGCTCTTTCCGTGTACTCCAATACCATTCAATTTAGTGTGTTGAAGCTGTTGTTAAGGGCCCGATGTTGACCTGCTACAGTTTCAACTATCTCATCTATCCTCCTCATCACAACCTTTTTATGGAGAAACTAGGTTTTGAATAGAGCTTTGGGAAAAGGAGAGGAATGGAGATAGCCTTGAATAGGTACAATGCTCAATGAAAATGCTAATGATGATGAGTTTGAATAGATAACATGATTTTAAATGCATTAAAGATGACCGAATATGAATAGTTCATTAATAATTTATCAAAATTCTCGCGCGACGCGTCGATCGGAAGAGGTCATACGTCGACGCACACTGTGTTAAAACATATAATTAGAAGTTCTTAGGGTATGCGTCGACCATAGGGTCGACCTGAGCATACCCGCTTTACAGACATGAAAAATTCTAGTTTTGTGAGTCGACTGGAACCCTATGTAGGTCGACTCATACAGGTAAAAATAGCAAAAAATCATCATTTTTTGTTCAACAAGCATCCAAAGAGACATAAATAAATAGCCTATACATATTTCAAACATACAAGGGGATGAAATAAGCGTAATCATGGAATAAGCATCAACAATTTTGATACATTACTTTATATGAACGAGGGAAGTGCAAGAACTTCTAAATAAGGAAAGATAGTACCTCAGCTCCAATTGTTAGCTAATGTTTTCACGTATGGCTCTAAACTTCTTCATTTGTTAGATAAAATATGAATAAAGCGCATATAGAGATAGATATAAAGCATGCGAAAGTTATTTCCTAAACACGATCTGAGATGTCGAGAACATTGAGTTCCCTACGGATGTGAAAGAAAGGCTCTGTAGCGAGTGATTTTGTAAAGATATCCGCAAGTTGATTTTTAGTATCAACATGATCAAATACCACGTCGCCCTTATCCACATGATCCCTAAGGAAGTGGTGGCGTATTTCGATATGCTTGGTGCATGAATGTAGCACGAGATTCTTGGTTAGGTTAATAGCACCAGTGTTATCACAAAAAAATCGGAACACGATCAAGTTTTAGGTTGAAGTCGAGAAATTATTGCTTAATCCATAAGACTTGAGCGCAACAACTACCGGACGCAACATATTCCGCTTCGGTTGTTGACAAAGCAACAGAAACCTGCTTTTTGCTATGCCAACTCACCGAAGAATTTGAAAATATATGACATGTGCCACTCGTGTTTTTCCTATCTGATTTGCAACC